AACATTTTATTTAGGCCTATATATGGCCTTCAAAAAGTTGACGACTCTACATGTTTCGACGTTACAACGTCATCCTCAGGAGTCGTCAACTTTTTGAAGGCCATATATAGGCCTAAATAAAATGTTTTTAATTGTGTACCAATTTAACGTTGAATATTATTTATGATTTTAACTGAGAGAACTGCCTTAGTTACGTTACCTCGGAGGTTTGGGAGCCTCCGCATTCTTTACAGTCGTTGTAGCCAAAATAGCAGCTTTTTTTGTTTTCTCTTCTCTGATTTCTTTGCTCAAAGTCATCATTTTAAGTCTTATAATCAATTCTTACATCTTAACAGAATATCAGAATGTTTCTGGTGCCTCTGTACATATTGCTGATGCTGCAACCCAATGATGATGATGTGAGGCATTTGGAGGCTGATATTCGGAGAACTGTAGAAGCCGTTCCATGGGGTATCAGAACGCCCTGGCTTATTCGTTTTGCTATACTTCCAGGAATCACTAGAAATGTAGTTCTAGACTGATAAAAAAACTCGGTGGTTCAATAAATTTTAAATCGGCAAATTACACTTGGTGGTATACGTTTGTTTTGTAATATTGGGTGATTAAACCGTTTGCTGGAGTTTATTAACGGGTTATCTGCAATATTTGTGCTTGGTTGTATGATTCACTGTAATGAATACTTAAATAAAAAGAAAGAGAACTGGTGTAAAATGGTTAAATTCGATAAACATTATAAGTAAATACAAAAACACATGAAAGATATTTGTGAATTTATCAAGTGAGTATCATAATCCTATGGTTTATTCGCAATCTATTGGTTACCAAGCTTCACGTACATTGATAAACGACAACGTATAAAATGCCTTTTGTGCAAAATATTCAGTAGCAACATCTAATTAGAAGAAGCAATTTGATATATTTTACAGAAAATAAAAATGGAAAAATACACTGAGTACATTTGATATATTTTATGAAAAGTAAAAATGGAAAAATACACTGAGTATATTTGATATATTTTATGAAAAGTAAAAATGGAAAAATACACTGAGTACATTTGATATATTTTATGAAAAGTAAAATTGGAAAAATACACTGAACATATTTGATATATTTTATGAAAAGTAAAATGGAAAAATACACTGAATATATTTGATATATTTTATGGAAAGTATAAAGGTAACGATACATTGAATTCCTTTGGTAAATAAAAAATGGGAAAACACACTGAGAACGTTTGATATATTTTACAGAAATTAAAAATGAAAAAAAAATTCATTGAGTAGGTATGATATATTTACGAAAAGTATAAAAAGGGGTAACAATATCCTGAATATCTTTGATATATCTTACGGAAAGTAAAAAGGGAAATGATATTTTGTTTGTTTGTTTTAGAGAAAATCCACATTGGGTTATCTGCAGTGTCTATCGAACCCCGGATTTAATACTCTGATAACGTTTGTTATATTTTAAGGAAAATGAAAAGAAAAACAATACATAATGATTTCACGACAAAAACACTCAAACAAAGAGAACTTAGGAAGCTGATACACTAATTCCCTACATTAACACGCTTTTTGAATCATCTCTAGGTCTTACCCTGATACTGTGGCTAGATCAACTTACCTAAAACGTGTAAACGGACAAAGAAACTTATTTTAGGGTCAGAGCTCACTTGGCATTCATACAACCCAGCGTCTGTCAGTTGTGGATACTTGATCTGGAGTGACCAGTCACCGGTGCTTTCTACGTGGACGGGACTAAATCTGTTATCACTAATGTAGGTCACTGTTCCCACAGTTAAAAGATGGAGGTCATGTCGACGAATCCAAGCAACCTGTCGAGCACGTGATATACTTTAAGTATTAATATAAATGCGTTCTGCAAATAACGAGAAAACGGTTTTTCTAGACCTTTCTGCAGTCATATATTGATTTTGTTGGAGATTTCTTATAAATTGTTTTATACATAAATGCGCTAATTTTATATATATATTTCACAAAATTATGTAACTAATTGTCATTGTTATCTGAATTTTGTTTTATTAAAATATATCGAATATAAAATATTTACTAAGAATATAATCGTGACTTAAAGCTATAATTTCAAAAAGTAATACATACTACTTAAAAAACATGATACTTTCAGATCAGGAGAAAACCTTAGATACATAATTAAACTGCCTGAGTGAACATTAACTAAAAATTATGAAATGCAGTTGTAGTCTCTATTATCACAGTAATCGTTAAAAAAAATGAAGAAAACTACATTTCTAACAATCATTAAATTGTATTTATTTATTTTTTAACTTTTAAATTACCTCTATGTAAGTTTTATTAATATTTATAGGCTTAATAGGACTTGAATATTATATAGGCACAAGTAAAACGTTATCATTAAACCTTCAAATATGATAACATCTGTAATGTGGGATATAAAGCCGCGATTTGACGTTCAAATTGCAATCCAACACAAAACTTATTACTCTAGAAATATTGCCATTTCAAACAATGTTAAACTGTTAAACATAGAAACAAAAATGATCGTACGCGAGAGAAGAAAGAAAATACCAGATCGTTGAGGTACAAATATCTGCAGAAAAGGTTTTTTGTTTGTTGTTAATAGGGGATCTGCGCTGTGTCCACAACGGTATCGAAACCCAATTTTAATGTTAGAAGTCCTCATACTTACCGCTGAGCCATTGGGGGGGGGGCAAGAAATTCCAAATTCACATATATATATGCACAGTTCGCAGAGAAGTAGGCAAATAATCCCCAAATGTTTCTCAATCTTAAAATAAAAGTCCCCCCCCCGACTATGAGACTTACAGAAAAAAAAACTAGAATTGTAATATTATATTGTATTTTATGAACTCCGCAGCTAACCAAGTCTTTACTTTTTCTCAGAAAAACTGTTTCACAAATCAAGTAAATGGATAAGAAAGAGCCAGCCAACCGGACCTTTACATACAAGAACAGTCGGCGGATCAATAGATAGACTGATGAATAGATGTACAGAAAAACACATAAAGAAAGAGACAGTAGTACGTATTTCACGTTAATATTTAATACTTTTATATAATATTCCTGAAAGAAAGAGAAACATATTCAAGTACAATGGAACTAATTCAGCGGTAAAAAACAGAAAACAATGGAATACTTAAATCTCCTATGATTTTAATCTGCAAAAAAAAAGTTTTAATACATTTACTTTTATTTAATTGTTAAATATGTTCAAGAAAGAGTTAAATAAAAGTAAAAGAGTCAAGAATCCAATGTAATTTAGAACGTGTGAAACATAGCAACGGCTATTTATGATACAGCCAGCTACAAAAACAATATATCTATATTCTGTACACTGTTATATAGTACTTGTGTATTGTATAACAGCGGTGCCCGCCGGTGGCTCAGCGATAAGTCAGTGGGCTTATAACACTAAAAATCGGATATCAATACCCGCTATGAGTAGAGCACAGATAATCCATTGTGTAACTTTATGCTTTATAACAAGCAAACACAATAACAGTGGCTGTATATAATGCACTACATTTTACAACCTGTGGAACATTACAGTAGTTTTTATATAAACACTACATTGCAATACATCCAGCAAAACAACAACATACATTTATAAACGTTTACTTGAAATGTTCTATATAATAAAGGTTATAAATAATTGGAATTGGGATAAATAGAAATTTCTCTAAACTAGAAATAAAACAAAATGCACCTTGAGCCTCAGAAGGTTATTATCAAAGACAGTGTTGGACTGAAGGATTCGAATCAACAACAGGAAAAGGTAATGTAACTCTGTTATTGGTGTCACCTATACTGTAATTAAATATGTTCGTTTTCTCTTCCGCTTGACGCCAACTAATTTTTACACACCGATATCTTGTGTACTAAAGCGAGACAAATTTAGGTATTGCTTTTAATATTTGTTGTTTAGCAATATGATTTAATATTCAACTCAAAAGCTGCACACAACTACTCTTCACATAATTGTACAAAATCTATGCTTTTGCAGTTCGCCTTTTGTCCTGATCAATATTGTTAAATACTGCTTTTAAATCTAATGATAGTTCGATTCAAGTTGATAAGCTTATCATAGTATCAGTATCACCTGACAATGATGAACTGTAGTGTTTCAAAACAATTTCCTTAAAAAAGTTACGTGTGGCCAGAACCGTCTTAGAAAAATCATACTGAGAAAAAGGACATCCTATTTTGAACCCCTATTAATACGATCTTTCAACTGACTGACCTTTCAACCCAATACATTTTCCCCTGCAAAGAAACATATTACACTTTAGTTTAACATCAACACTCCATTTCTTATTGTGTCTACATCTAGGTATGTGATGCTATTGATAAGTATGATATTTTAATGTAGAATACACAGTGAAAAAATACCACGTCTAACAACACCACGTTGAAATCTGTCATTTTGCAAGGTGGAATGTAGACCGTAGTGGGTTCTAGTTGCAACAAGAAACGTGTGTTAACTTAGTGCTGTAGAATGTACTTTTTTACCGAATGTAATTTTTATCAATGTAAAGTAAGGGAAATATTTGTGACTATATTTTATGTAAATTTTGTTTAACTCCATTTTGTTTAAACTGTTCATAATTATTTCTTTGCAATCGTAAGAAACTCGTTGTAAAAGAAAGTGTAACCTGTGTATAACATCATACAAGTAGCTCATTCATTTATCTTAGTGTTGACTTTGGCTATTTATCCTATGATTGTGATAGTATTTTTAATAGGTCAACGCGACAGTTTTCTGTATTAACGAACTACTAATCTTTCCAGGTTTCTAACACCACAAGTATCTTCTAATACAACTCAATAACAAAAGTTACCTTGTTTTTATAGATAAGGAGCATGGGTTTTATACAATTTACAGTACATATCAAATCACATGTATGTGGTTGTTCTATATATCCTTTTTATTTAATGTTATGGGGAAATAGCTTTGAATAATGCGCTAAATCTTACTTATTTAGATGTAAAAACCCACTTACACAAACATAACTCCGTTAGCGAAAGCTAACTTAAACTAAAGATGTTTTTCTAGTTTTGTTTATTAGTTTAAAAGTGTATTTTAAATAGTGGGCAACAATGTATTGTCAGGGCAATAATCAATTACAGAAAAACTCAGTCGTCGGGTTTACAAATCGAAATCCTTATTGAATCAAGTGTAAACGGCTCATTTACAAGTTTACAGTTAGATTTCCTTATATAAACTTCGAAAAATTAACTTACTGTGAAATAAATTTAGTGTGAATATTATGATATTTGACAGTTAAACAAATAGTTCGGTTAATTCAACTATAAATTAATATTTAGGTACTTAACAGTCACCTGCGATATATCGGTCAAAACATATGTACAATAACGTCTACATATTTAATAGTGATTTTACAGTCAGTTTATTACAGTGTGTCAAAAGAAAAAAAAACAGTTGATCTCGTTCTACCGGATATAAGTAGAGAGCCTTTCACATTAGAGAAAATTTTAAATATTTATTCAACGTCAATAACTACACGTACAGCTCAATTGGATCTTTGAATCAGGTAGTGTATATATATATATATATATGTGTATGCATGTTTTTACTTTTAAAGATAAGCTATATAAACTGATTGAGCTACAAGCAAATATATATATATATATACTCTGCAGGTCCCATACCAGGAGCTTGTAAGGAAGAAAGAATCAAGAAGTATATATCGATCTAAGAAGTCTGTAATCGAGCAGTGTTGCCCGTCATTGTTTGAACACCTATCATGATCTGCCTGCCAGTGAACAAGCTAATATTAGAATATTGAACCTTTCTTCAGAAATCTGAAAGATGAGAAACCATGATAGGTTTAAACCTGGAAATATACGTGTAGTCAAAAAGCATCGAACTGAATGGAAATGTTTAGTTATTTTTTGAAAGAAATATGTCATTTCTGGAGCAAAAGGTTTTAACAAAAAATTATAATCTAGTTTCCACAAGAGTAAGGAATTTGTAATTTCCAAAGAGCACTTTCCCTTAGATCTTTAGCAACATTCTGTTTTTACCCTTTGATGTTCTATAGATTTTATCATTTTTGTGCATGTTTATACACTAGTTATTTACTGGTAAGGAAAGTTGATATCCTTTCTATCAACAATAGTTTTCTTGTGCTGCGTACTTGGACAACTACGGAAAATTCTACAAGTCACATATTACACAATT